GACATGACAGAAGAGGAAATTCTTGATGAACTCAACGATCAACATGTCACTTCAGTGAAACGTTTCACAAGAAAGGATGGAGATAACGTTGTCCCAACAAATACATATTGTTCACTTTTTCACTGTCGACCATACCGCTATCTATAAAGGCAGGCTATTCTAACATCGGAGTGGAGGTGTATGTCCCCAATCCACTCCGATGTTACAAGTGTCAGAAGTTTGGACACGGTTCCAAATCATGCGATCGGCCGATTGTTTGTCACCGTTGTGGTGCAAATCATGACGCCTCAGATTGTACAGCTGACCCCCAAATGTGTGAACTGTTAGGGTAAACATGTTGCATCTTCAAAATCATGTCCTCTTTGACAACATGAGAAAGATATCTTGACAGTCAAATGTCAAAGCAACATTTCTTTTCAGGAAGCGAAAAAAGTCATTGCCAGACGGTCACCTCAATCAGTACAAACTTATGCTGCTGCTGCTGTCTCTCGACCTTCTACCACAAGATCAATAGAATGTCAAACTGACTTGACATGGGCACACTCTGAACACCCTGTGCCTGTGGTTACAACATCAGAGAGTCAGACAAATGATTCAGATAATCAATCATGCGGCATCTCTCAAGCATCTCAGGTTGTGACTCAGACTATGGCCCCACCTAAACCAACTCCTGAATTACCAGGAACTATCAAATCATCGACTGAAATGCCCCCAAAACAAAAGAGGAAACAAAACAAGATAATTACTACTAAGATCCCTACTCTCACTGAAACATCTGTAGATGTTCATAATTTCGTTGATCCTCTCGAGATGGATTTTACTCCATCTTACATGAGTGGTGACTCTTCTTCACGGTCACGTGAGCGATCTCCTATAGAACCGCCATGAACCATTCAAATATTTTTCAATGGAATTGCAGAGGACTTAGGCACAATTTTAACGAACTGCAATTATTAACAACAGATTTAAGTCCATCAGCAATTTCTTTACAAGAGACGTACCTAAAAAATACAGATAACTTTGAATTTAGGCAGTATAGTTCGTATCATTCCTTCTCTCCCCCGACCGATAAAGCTACTGCAGGAGCTACTATTTTGGTGCGGCGGGGCGTTGTTCACAGTCCTGTTCGGCTTGACACAAATCTGCAAGCAGTTGCAGTTAGACTTACACTGCATATTGCCGTGACACTTTGCTCCTTATACATTCCACCTTCTTCAAATCTTCAGCAAAATGATCTACAAAAACTATACGACCAACTTCCAAATCCCTGTGTCATCATGGGTGATCTAAATGGGCATAATCCTTTATGGGGAAGTGCAATCATTAATCAAAAAGGAAAAGTGATCGAGGATTGTGTTTCCGATAATGATCTATGCATCTTTAATGATGACTCCGACACGTATTTACACCCTGCTACTGGCACATATTCATCTCTAGATCTGTCTCTGACGGATTCAGTTTTGTTAAACGAATTCTCCTGGTCAGTCCACGATGACCTAAGTGACCATTTCCCCACCCTACTTAAACCCATTAATCCCACTGATGATCCATCTTCACCACGATGGAATTTTTTGAAGGCTGATTGGCCTTTATTTCAATCTTTATGCAAAGATCAATTACAACCTACGTCTTTTCAGAATGTTACTGACCCGGTTCAGTTGTTCTCAGATCAACTGAATAAAATTGCTGATGAATCAATTCCTAAGTCCTCTGTCAAAATACTTCCGTAAACACCCCACTGTCCATAATTTAAACACTGTTAAAATTTCAAATGCCAAGGCAAGACGTCTATTTAAGCAAAATAAACGTCAATCATGGAATAACTATGTCTCAAAAATAAACTCTCGTACTCCTATGTCCAAAGTATGGAACATGATTAAAAAGATCAAAGGCAAGGGATCACATTCTACAGTTAACCATCTGAAGGATGGCGATACTTTATTAACTGATAAAACTGCTATTGCCAATAGACTTGGGAAAACTTTATCTCATCATTCGTCTTCATCAAATTACGTTCCTGAATTTCAAAAATATCAGCTCCAACAGGAAAAGAAAAAAGTAAATTTTACATCTGGTAATGGTGAAGATTACAATGAGGTATTTTCACTAAATGAGCTACATACTGCTCATGATACAGCAGCAGGCGCTGATAATATTCATTATCAGCTACTGAAACACTTGCCCGAATCATGCCTTGAAACTATGTTGACTATATTCGATGATATTTGGACATCAGGGACGTTTCCACCTTCATGGCATAATGCCATTGTCATCCCCATACCCAAACATGGGCGGGATCATTCTGATCCATCAAATTACCGACCTATCTCTCTAACTAGCTGTGTTTGTAAAACTATGGAACGCATGCTAAATAATCGATTAGTGTGGTACTTGGAAACAAATGATCTTCTTACCAATATACAATGTGGTTTCCGGAAAAACAGAAGTACTATCGATCATTTAGTGCGTTTAGAATGGTTCATTAAAAATTCCATTGTAAATAGACAACATGCTGTATCGATCTTTTTCGACTTAGAACAAGCTTACGATACAACATGGAAACATGGTAATTTAAAAGATCTTCATGATTTTGGATTAAGAGCCCGTCTGCCTCATTTTATATCCCAGTTTTTAACAGACAGGCAATTTCAAGTCCGAGTGGGTACAACCCTGTCTGATCATTATAATCAGGATCAGGGTGTCCCACAAGGCAGTATTTTGTCTGTCACTTTATTCAGCATAAAAATTAACAGTTTGTCAAAAGTTTTAAATGATTCAGTTGATGGATCACTTTTTGTGGATGATTTTAACATATCTTGTCGTGGTAAAAATATGCACACAATAGAAAGGTAATTACAATTATGTCTCAATAAAATTCACAAGTGGTGTCTAGAGAACGGGTTTAAATTTTCAACATCAAAAACTAACTGCATACATTTTTGCAGGAAATATAAACCGCATAAAGACCCTGAGGTATTTCTAAATGGCACCCCTATCCAAGTGGTGAAGGAGGCAAAGTTCTTGTGACTTATTTTTGATAACCATTTAACTTTCCTCCCACATATTAAATACCTTAAAGGTAAATGTCTGAAGGCACTCGACTTATTGAAAGTTGTTTCTAATTCAAAGTGGGGAGGGGATCAAACAACCTGCTTGACTGTATTGATTTTTCCATCACAAGGGATAAATATTTCAAAGCATCATCTATTAAGGATCTTTTTACTAGTATCAACTCCCGTTTAATTATAGATTTTTTAAAACACACTGAATTGTTTTCAAAATTTTTGATATTGCATAAAAACTATGTTTTAAACTTGGTAGAAAAAATTAACAACTGTGATTGTAAGTGGCTGTATCCTCGAAGGTGGTTAAAGTACAGTAAAATTATTGTCCCCCGGAGAGGATACATAAGTTCCATTTCTTTGAAAGTAAATTTATAGCTGTCACATTTTTTAATCGTAGGATATTTGTTCGTTTTAATTGGTGGTTAATATTGACTACAATCACCAGCGACTGAAGGGATGGTGTAAATCCTGCTGGGGTGCCGTGCAGGTAGCAAAAGCATCGTAAGTCCCCTCGGTCCCTAATGTGGTGGCCTAACTTTGGTTGCTGGCGATCTATAACCCGTTCTTATATTGTGTTGTTGAATTGTACCTTATTCTTTTATTTATTCTCAAACTAGTTTTAACTAAAATCTGTGATACTCTAGTTATTGTACTGTCCTTTGTGACGTTGTTGTCAGCGCCAATGGCATTGGACCCAGGACAATTTCATCCCGATTACCAGATAACTGTTCAATTTTCACAGCGGAAGCAAATGCTATTTTAACACCACTTAAATAGTTTAGCCAAACTACACACAAACAGTTCTTGCCTTCAGGCTATTAAAAACTTGTCTTGCACACATCCACTTTTAATTAAAATTGTTGAAATTATTTTCATTACTATAAGTAGTATGGCTTACCTCAGGAAGTAGAGACAGTCTTGCTTTGCTTCAACAAACATTGTGATAATTCTTTTTTTGTAGTATAAGGCGCCTATGCTTGTCGTAAGAGGCGAGTAATAAGATCGGGTGGTCAGGTTCGCGGACTTGGTCGATGCAAGTCATCATCGTATCCCCATTGTGTAGACCGATGCTCATAATGTCAATCACTGGATCGTCTGGTCCAGATTCAATTATTTACATACCGTCGTCATATAGCTGGAATATTCCTAAATGCGGCTCTAAACAACGAACAAACAAAGAACAGTTCTTTGCTTGTTCACTTATACACTGCATGTATTCCAGTAAACGGAACACGATATACACAGTATTTTGTAATGTTATGTTGTTAGTGCATCTCACAGCAAGACTTACTTTGTGCATCAACATATTCCTTTCTCTCCTACAGTTCATACAGTTCAGACAGTTCATACAGTGATATATGGTCTCAACTTGCATCAATCACACAACTGATCAGAGGGCTGTGGCTAATTACTAGAAGACCAACCTGTAGGTCCCGTGACCAAATCATGGAAACAAAGGTTTGAAAGTGTTTTTGAGTTTCCTGATGTGTACTGAACAATTTTGACATGGGCTGCCCGGTTGAAAATCCCGGGCATTTTGGGGAAGGGTCAACAAAGGTCAAACAGGGGTCAAAATTCAAAATTGTGTCGATATGCATATCAAATTACTCGTCCACTCATAAGGAACCTAGAAATACATAGTTTGTTATACTTCCGACCTTAAATGGGGTAGCTATGGCCAAAAACGTTGAAAGGTCAACGCACTTTTGGCAGTCGGTGAAATTCACAAACACAGTTAACATTGTCCGATAGTCGTGATTTTAGTGTCTAATAATATGTTTTCTGACATGACAAATTCAACCAAGCAACTTTTAAAAGTAAAAAGGGTTACCTTGGCCTTGAAAATCGAAATAACCTGACGTTTTCAAGTTGTTAAATATGTCAAGGTCGTTAGGGATAGTTTTGTAATCAAAAGTAAAACACTAAAGATGTGAATCATGTTCAAAAGGTTTATTGAATACAGATTTGTCTCAATGCCTTCCACATATTTTATTGCTTTCTAAGACAGCAGCGGTCGGTCTCCCTGAAATGAGAAGCATATGATTAAGAAAAGAGTACAAGCAAGAACATAACTATCATGTTACTCCCTGTTTGTATTGGGGTGGTGGGCGAGGGGAGTTACATGTGGCCCAGTTGTCTAAGGCGCCGCCAATCGCTGTGCAGAGTTGCGTCCCTTGGGCACACCAGAAACCTATGATTTTGGTTCTAATCCTGGTTCGTCATGAGGATGTATCTTCGTTTCTCAGCACAATATTCGTGCTTGTGGGTTTCAACGAAATGATACACGTCTGACGCCTAGGTCACTTCAAATTAAGCAGACACGCTTGGATGTAACGGGAATAATGTTAAAGGCGGCATTAAACCCAACTCACTCCTGTTTGTATGATTGTTGATACTAGACAAGACAAGACAAGACATAACTTATAAAGTTCTTCTGTTTTTCAGTAGCATGAAACTGTGACACATTTATGATTTCAAAGATAAGAACTTACCCACTCTGCTTATCAGGGGCTGTAAGAAACAAAATATATAATCATTTTAATGTTATTTATTGTTACAATCACCTCTTTATACAAAAGTAATATGACTGTATCCCAGTGCACATCTTTCACAAGGGATCAAGTATTATAGTTAAAAAAGATATTTATTTGGATAACCTTTGAAAAGAGAATAAATGCTTGGTTAACATATGATTGCTACTTTTCTGTGTCTGGTGTATGTAAATGTAATACTTAAATGATTTTGTTATCAACATGATGCTGTAAGATCGGTCAATGAATTCTTGGGCTACACGTTATATGCAGTGATTTTACTGTTGTGATTTAAAGGGCAAGTTCACACGGAAATGAACCTATTTTTCTTGTACTTTTTCCACATTAAAAGTGTTAACCTAGAAGTGTCATAGACAAAAATATAAAAATATCACAATTAATTAACATATTTTCCCCATTAAAACGATTTATATTTTTCACATTTACCAAGTGTTCTATTTCCACGACAAAAACACCATGGCTTATGCCCCTTGCAATATGACGTCATTGGTGCCAATTGATAAACATTATGACGTCATTATGCTTTGTTAGAGCCGCTTCACGTGGTGTAGGTCCAGGTGTGTGATTCTAGCGTCTCAGATGCCAGCCAGCATGGTGTTATGCTGAGTCACCACTGCGCCGGAGTGTGTCGTAGGCCATGTTGTTTTACCGCAAACTGGTACTTGATATCTTTTGCGTTGAGAATATACAGGGACCCAGTTGAATTGGCACCAATTACGTCATAATCTAAGGGGGATAACTCAGGCCTGTTTAGCTCGAAAAACGAAGGCCTCATAACGGCATATCATTTTCACACTATTTTGAGCTTCCTACTTTCACTGTGAAAAAAATGAGTGTATATTTTCAAACACAGATACTAATTAATTCTAAAATTGCGTTTTGTTTAGAAAAAGAAAGAAAGTGATTTTTGCGTGTACATTTCCCCTTTAACGTACCGGGGTGGTTCGAACTCGAGCCACAGATTGCCAGCTGCCACGGACGTGGTATAGTTCAAAGTTCCTTCCTTCTCGCAGGATGTGGAGTTGAAAATGCTGAGATGACTGAAAGATCAAACCTGTGCTTGTTACTGTCGTTGTATATCGTATCCGAGCCAAGATCAAATGAGGACTGTTTTACAAAAAGATCTTTGGCACTCACTAAGTAACCCTTTAAAAACCACAATAATGATCTGGTCCATCGAGGTGTTCTTAAAAGAAGTTAAATAAATCATTCGATGCACAAAACGCCTTCTTTCACACTGCTCTGATACTAATGGTGTCAGTTGTCACGAATTATAAATTTGTTTGTCAAGACATAAATAATTCGAAATATTGATCTTATATTAAGTTTTGTCGTTAAAGTAAATTGAACGACTCCAGCAACTTTTGCTGATGGGTGGGTCAAACAGTAAGATCCCACAGTGTCGACTAGAGAGTATAGTGTGTGATATTGTTTTGAAACGTTTGACATAAACAGAACCATAAACAGAGCCGACTAAATCAGGCAAAGACTGCATGTACTTGAATTTGAAATTTTCAAACCATGAGATTGATACCTTAAATTCAAATAACATTTTCAGACGAAAATCATTTCCCAAATGTCGGGAACGACCAACAATTTCATTTTCCTACACGAATACCATTTCATCCAGGTTGTTCAGTTACAAGAACGTATCGCAGAACGTGGACTTGGCACCCCATGAAATACACAATACGTGGTACAAACTCAATGCTCTGATACTAATGTGAGTGAGTGTGTTGGGTTTAACGCCGCTTTTAACAGTATTCCAGTAATATCACGGCGTGTCAGCTTAATGTGGGAGGAAAGCCCAAAGTGACGCAGGTCTTAGACGTCTACCACTTCGGTGAAACCCACGAGCACGGGTATGGTGCTGACAAACCTAGAAACAATCGGAGAGAACCGGGATTCGAATCCACAATCATAGGTTTCTGGCGTGCCCAAGAGACGCAACTCTGCACAGCGAATCGCCTCTGATACCAATGGTGTCAACTGTCACGAATAATAGATGTGTTGTTAAGACATACATAATTTGATATATTTATGTTATATTAAGCTTTCAAAGTTGAATGAGCGACGCTTAATATGCTGACTTATTTTAGAGTATTTGAAGGTTGATATAAACATTGGACTTCAATAAACTGCTCACTGTATACCAGTGTGCATCATGATACATCTAATACCCAATTAATGGTGACATACGGGGCAATAATTTACATCAATCAATCATATAGATATAAGGGTCTAACATATAAGGGTTTTAGTGACAATATATGGTACTAATTGTGGGCGGCATGAAAGAGCAAATGAAACCGCCAGGTAAGGGTTGCCTTGCTTACCTGACACCCGTTGAGGACACGTAGACAAGCGTTGAACAGCGGTTGACCTTGACGTCCCAACATCGTAAATTACAGTCCAGCAGCTTGAAACATGCGGTGTCATCGTTGTAGATCCATAAAGCACCAGTATCATCACAAAACACTGTGTTAACTTTTGGAGAAAATGTGTCAAGCCATGTGTTAATGACAACTATAGTACAAAGAATAACATGGAGCATTTTGTCAACTTATCTTACGTTAGTTCAGGCATATATGTATTAAATAACTAGAGCATTAGTCTGGTTTCATGTCATCTGAAACTGAGTCTACTTTGACGAAATAGAAAGTTATGAAATTTGTATCTACTTTGAAAAGGGGTCGGAGGTATTGTCTAAGTTTTTGGTGGACAAATGCATATGGATTGAAAACACTTTTAACACTTGTTTTAGAGAATAGGTAAATTTCTGTTAGCAAAATTCAGTGAGGTCCAGATTCTCAAAGTTAAGCTATATGTTGTACGGTACATACCTTGGTCAATGACATCAAACGAAATAATGTTCATTGAAAACTTCACTTTGGTTTCCAAATCGGCACCTGATGTGTTGACGCTTTGGATTTCTTTGCAATTGCCGAAATACACTCGCCTTTAACGGTAAAAGAAGGTAATTAATGAAATATCACTCTGGCATTGTGTCAATAACTTAGTGCTTATTTGTCCGACAATCGTACTTCAACGTTTTCATTTTGAAACATCATGGAACAAGGTATTTGGTGTCCAGGTCAAAACCAGTGTATGTTATCCAACGTGAACTGTACATTGTCCCTGTTTACGGCTGTGTACGTTCTTTAAAGACATTGAACAACACAAGTAGTGACTGGTGATATGATAGAGAGCACCGCCCTCACCCTGGTGCCCTCATCCAAATGCCAATCATGGAAGTGCTTACTACCGTATTCGACATAATTAGCGCCCAGGGCGCTCTCAAAATTAGAAATAGGGGGCTATTATTTGAATATTATTTTGGTGAAAAACAACTGTTGAAAGATCGTAAATTTCGCAGGTTATGCTGATAGCTTGAAATGTTTATATACGACAGATATATTTATCCAAAATTCAATTTTCCATAAATAAGGATGCATATAACACACGTATTATACACGAATAAATAAGTCTTGTGTACATTGATCAATCGGAAGGGGTGCTAATTGGAATTGTTCACTTGCCAAATATCGCCGTTGGCGCTTATTACGTCGAATACGGTAATCATATGCCATGACAAATCACTGAAGTCTAACACATCTCACATAGATATTTCAAGGGAAATAAATAAATCCGTGAAAAATAGTAAAAAGTGAAGTGGTTTTGGCTGTAAGCAGGTTGAACGCGTGGATAGCCACTAAGACTGTTTGGCTCATGTGGGATTGGACATTGTTACATTTCTGTCAGGAGTACATGTTGTGTGTCCTTCCTGATAATGAAAAGGCCTACGACATGATTTGGCGAAAAGGATATCACTTTGAAATCGTTTCAACATTTTTTTACTTTCAGATTTGCTGCTGTCTTATTGAAAGAGCATCGCCGTTTTCTTACCAAATTGGGTTTTTCCTTGATGTTTTAATCCATTTCATGAAGTAGAGGATCATGTCATTTCATCAGAGTGAGTGCGTATGGTTTTACGCCGCTTTTAGCAATATTCCAGCAATATCTAGGCGGGGGACACCAGAAATGGGCTTCACACATTTTACCAATGTCGGGAATCGAACCCGGGTTTTCGGCGTGACGAGCGAAAGCTTTAACCACTAGGCTACCCGACCGCCCCCATTTCATCAGAGCAATCGTGTACATTGACATACATTTTCATACATGGTAAATTAATACCTTTGGTGCAGTACAGATACTAGTATTTATGAATGTAAAACATCCTTTGTGTTATTGATGTTATTCATTTTTGGTCCTAAGCTATACCCCTACTACCACCACCAAAAGTAAAAAGTATTCTGAAAATAATTGTTTTCGAAGTAAATAATGAGGCAACTGGTACGTTGTGAACAATTTCTGTGCGTAATAGTTTACTCGCCTACCTCTGTTTTTTTTTATGGTGTATGGCACGTATTTAACTGGTTATTTAACACAAATATCTATATATAAGATGGAATAGAAGGTTTTAGCTGGTGGGTTTTACTCTAAAATAGGGGATACTTTGCTGATTGTGTACTACTGTCTTTAATTTCGCGTCAACTTATGCCTGAGACACGAGAGCCCATTTAATGTTAAACTTCTCCTTCACTGGTTTTAGTTTGTTACATACACAGATCTGTGATACCAACCCATCATAACTTCTGACAGTTCCAGCACAGGAAATATTGAGAAGATCCGTCGCAATTCCACCAGAAATCGAAACAAGGGCATTGACAGTTGGAGCGTAATTCCGAAAGGCGACGAATATTTGATCATCAAGATAAGCAATGCCTGCCCCCTCTAGTCCAGGCGACAACATACCTAGACAGGGCAGAGACAAACATATACATAGCAAAGAATCGAATTTAATCTGTAAGCATTTTGTCAATATCAGTCATTTATCTGGCGATTATCTATAATGCTTGTTATAGGATTGTTTGATGTTCCTTCATGTAGATAAAAGTGACAAAACCCTTTTTATAGCAATCTGTGAGTGAGTGAGTGAGTAAGTGAGTAGGTTTAACGTCGCTTTAAACAGTATTCCAGTTATATCACGGCGTGTCAGCTTAATGTGGGAGGAAAGCCCGAAGTGATGCAGGTCTCAGGCCTTTACCACTTAGGTGAAACCCACGAGCATGGGTATGATGCTGATAAACATAGAAACATAATTGTGGCGAACCTGGATTCGAACTGCAATCATAGGGTTCTATATCCAAGGGACGCAACTCTGCCGAGCGATTAGTAGCGCCTCAGACAACTGGGCCACGCGTGCCCCTAACAAGCAAACTATGCCAAAAGTAGAGTCCATTGTACGATTCCGATTACATCATTAGTTTGTATTTGTGAATCGATATTAAATAATGAAAATACCACGAAATGTTCACCGAGATCACAGACTATCCGTTTTATGACAAGAAGTTTCAACCAACCAAAACATATTGGTGTGATGTGTTGTTTTAATGTTTGCTAACTTTATCAAAAATCGCCAACAGCTGAAGGGATGATGTAAATCCGGCTGGGGTCCATGCAGGTAGCAAAAGTACTGTAAGTCCCCATGGACCCTAGCATGGTGATCTCTCTTCAGTGGCTGGCGATCAATAGCTCGTTTTTATCTTGTATTGTTACGTATGGTGTTATATTTTTATGGCTATCTACTAGTTTTAGATATAATCTGTGATAAATCTAGTTATTTTACTGTCCATCGTTGACAGGTTTGTATTCATTCTAAATATATGTATTATTAATATACTTCTCGTCACGATATGGCTGAAATACTGCCGATGTGACGTTAAATATTAACTCACTCACTCACTCACTCACTCACTATTGGTGTGAACATATTAGTATTAGATTGATGTGTATATTAGTTCGATTGGCAAGAAGCAGGTATTGAGGGTGGAATGACTTACTATATATTTGAGTGTCGTCCTCACTGGGGACGGACAGCTGATTAACCGAGGTTACGACATCATTGGTGATGTAATAGATGGAGTAATCGCTATTATTGGCTCCATCAACTGTAATATGGTTGACAGTACGAATCGCTTCTATAGTTGACAGGAAGATCCCAACTGGGTCAACTACAGCAATATCAGATACAAAGAATCCAGAAACAAGCACGGCGCATCCCTCGACTGTAAAACAACATAGCAGATCGTTTGCTCATTGAAGAAAAAATAAATGGTCTGGTTATGCACAAATGTGTTCTTACTTTTTCCAGTATAATTTAGCATGTTTTGAGTTATATTTACGTATTCATGCTGAGCCTTATATTATCATATTTACACAATAATTATTTTAGTATCCCAGATAAATAATCAATACGTAATCAAGGCCTGTCTGTGTCTGATGAATGACAACAATTTGAGACTACTCATTTGAGGGGATAGGGCCGGGGGAAGCATCAATAAAATGTTTTCGAAGAACAAATGCCAAATGATACACTTTTTGTACTATGTTATGTTGTTACCAGTAACAAACCGTCAGAAGAGAACGTATGTACATATGCACTGTAATTCATGAAATCATCTTGGCATGATAGATCATGCGATTTCCAAAAGTACTACAATTGCAAAAGTGAAGATTATCCTAATAGATATCACATCAGTTATTCAGAAGTGCAAGTACTACACGCGTACAGAATGACGTGGCGATAGGGATTTATGACTAAATCACCAAAATATAATATGTCTGAGTTTGGACTTTGCTTTTCTCTAGTACTCCGAGCATTGCTAGCTCAAAAGTATTTTGTGTTATTTCACATCCCAATTTTGTCTCCTTTGACAACAGGAGGGTGCCGAAGAGGGCTTGGACGAGTCCAAATTTACTACCCGGGTACCCGACCCCCTATTACCCGATCCTACCCGGGTACCCACTGCAAGTCTCAAGTAGAACAAGGGAACAAAATGTCTGATTGGTAATTGTTTCACCGCAGCCCTGGCTAAAACTATTTAGATACATGTATCAAACAATCAGATCATGAGTTCACTGAAGTTGACTGAAGCTTCATCTTTACTCAAACAAGGAATGTGTAAATCGTCAGAAAGAATGCGAACATAAACGACTTGTAGTGTAACCACTAAGCTATTGTGGGTTTTTGTCATTAAACAATATATCACGTGACTAACCACGGGTCCGGGTTGACCTGTGGGTACCCGGGTCCTACTCAGGACCCACCCGACCCGGATACCCGAGTTACCCGCCCCAGCCCTAGTGCAGATGCACGATCTCTCTGAGGTTTCCTTTATTTCGCCTCTCTACCTGCGTGGAGGACAATCATTCTGTGGTATACTGGTTTTGTCAGTTCAAAATGTCTGATGACTGTAAGCCCAAAAGCATTATCATCTGGTCTCTTTTGTCAACAAAGACCTAACAAGAAGGCGATTCAGATGAATGCTCTTTGCGATTTTGCCTTTAGTTCGTTTTTCTACTTACGTGGAGGACAATCTTCTGGTTGATCCCCGATCAATGCTGTGAGATCGTTGATAAGATCGCAAAGTGTGCTGTTGAGCGCTTGGAGATCACTTTCAAAGCAATCCCCTGGAGCTAAAACAGAATTATACAGTAACTGTTGTTATCTGTTATAAATCATAACTTTGTGTTTAACCCGGTTAATTGAGGATACAGATAATGCTGTCATCAGCCGTTCATCTTTTGTCACTTGGAACTTATTAAACACGCCTGTAAATATGGAAACATCTACAATTGTAAACCTTTCATCTTTAGATTAATTAGATGCCATTACGTTCTCTGTAAAGGGCCCAGTGCTTCTCTTTTGTGCAATGGCATATTGGTTCTATAATCTCCTAGAAAGTGATGTTTTGACAATGTTCATCAAACCTAAAAAATGTTGATGAAATGATATGAAGTATGGAGTAAAGTGTATCGAGTAAGATTATAACACATGTGTCTTTGATACCAACAATTGGAAAATTAACATAAGCAATCGTGGCATCGGAAATGATGGACAAATTATAATAAATGATAAAATGAACGGAAGAATTGTGTTAACTCCACAATCTGCAATATTCGTTCTATATCATGGTTTCCTAACAACAAACTCACAAAACTAGCCAAGGCCTACTAATGAATTGGTCGGTCTGTTGTTTTGTTGTTTTGTTGGTTTGTTTGTGGTAGTTTCGTTTCATTTCATTTGTTTAAAAAACCCACTCAGCAATATATCAGCTATATGATGGCGGTCTGTAAATAATCGAGTCTGGACCAGACAATCCAGTGATTAGGATCGATGACATGCATCATCCAAGTCAGCGAGCCTGACCGCCCATTGCCGCTAGTCGCCTCTTACGACAAGCACAGTCGCCTTTTACGACCAGAATGGGTTGCTGCCGACCTATTCTACCCAGGATCTTCACGGGCCGCCTACCAATGAAACAACTAAGATGTTCAAAATGATAGAAATGTGATTGATATGTGTCAAGTATGTGCATGAAACAGCACAACAGTTTCCAGTTGTCCAAGAACTCGGAGAAAACGACGACCAAGCCCTTTGGAAAAAAGAAAGGAATGCACATCATCGTTTCTTCCGTGTGTTTGGTTTTCTTATGATGGTATCCATTTCAAAGATTCTATTATCAGCTTACAGCACAATATCAATCATTTGTTTTAGTATATTAATCTGTAATTTTTCAATACAGTGGAACAAATATGACCGAATATGACACAAAAGGGAACAATTCAGTATAATTCAGTAAAAGTGACAAAATCATTTTGATAATCCTACGAAATCACTACGATTCCGATTATATCATAAACAACGTTCTGCAGAGCAAAGGAAAAGTTTAAATGTTCATTATCAACATTATGGAGATATCCGACGCTAAAATATTTTTCTATCATTCAGACATAGGTAGTAGTCTGAAATAGACAGTTTCAAAAAAGTCCATATGTATGCATGAATCTGCCGAGACAAAAGGCATTGCTCGTGGGGATATGATATCAATACAGTAAACTACGTTTATAACGAACACGCTTATAACGAACTGACGGATATAACGAACTTTTTTTGCCCCGACTATTTGCTGTAGTTATGCTGTATATATGCATAAAAGGAACTACGGCTATAACGAACTAAAATTAGTGGTCCCTTTGAGTTCGTTATAACCGTAGGTTACTGTAATTGCCTTGAATTGATGAAATTATCCTTTTCTCAAGTGAAATCAAATAATAGAGCTACTCTAACTGTTAAAACTGAGTAAAACTCAAGAAATATTTCCCAGTCCCGATCTTTGGTTTCAGCACATTATGCTTGAGCTTAAAGTATTCAATGTATCATTTAACTGTCTTTGAAATCTTAGATTACATATATTTTGTAGTTCTCATTTTATTCTTAGTTTTTTAAAAGAAATCGAATTGTTTCATAAATTTTGATTATTATGTTTTGTAAATAAATAAATTAACTTTTACAATTGGTAAAATAAATCAGTAACTGAGATTGATATCCTCGAAGTAGTGTACAATTATTGTCCCCCTGAGAGGGTATGTGAGACCACGTCTTTCAAAGTATAGTTATTTGTACCAATTTTTTAATCGTAGCATATGTGTTATTTTAATGTTTGCTAAATTTGACAATAATCGCCAACAGCTGAAGGGATGTTGTAAATCCGGCTGGGGTCCATGCAGGTAGCAAAAGTACTGTAAGTCCCCATGGACCCTAGCATTGTGATCTGTCTTCAGTGGCAGGCGATCTATAGCTCGTTTTTATCTTGTATTGTTACGTATGGTGTTATATTTTTATGGCTAACTACTTGTTTTAGATATAATCTGTGATAAATATAGTTATTTTACTGTCTTCTTGTCACGATATGGCTGAAATACTGCCGATGTGACGTTAAATCTTAACTCACTCACTCACATATATTTTGTGAGTTGAAATCATACAAATCACCACTCAACGATACAGAACAGCAGCAACACAAATAAATAATTGCAATTTGGTAATTCTCGAATATTACCAGCACGGCAGCGTTTTCTGTTTTGTAAAAACAAATATTGCAAATATATTGTAATGCAAACATGAAGTAAGTCTAAGAATGAAGTCCACACATATTTACAACATGTAACAATCACCTGTAAAAATCCTCAGTAGTATAGTGCCCATACTGAATTCAACATCTTTACAAGATCATGGAAATCTCAAAACAAAACTTTTAAAAGCTGATGTCGCCTATTAAAAGCACATCTTTCACTTTTGATAATGAAGATAGAGTGAGAGATACAGCTATGGAGCAACTGACCAACTAAACAAAACTTCTACCTACAATTAGTCTTTATTCCATTTTCCAAAGACAATCATCTAACTTAATCACGACAAACTGTTAACGAATGACAGCAGAAACGTTTGACAACTAGGATGCTGATTGATTAATTCTGCCATGACTTATGCTGTTGTAGTTCTATTTTTTCACAAATGAAATGTACTTACTCTGACATGGACACTGTTCATTTGTGACATCAAAGATACATTGAAAATCAGCCTTAGCATCTTCTAGTTGAGTCAAGATGCCAGCAAGCTTGTTGGGGAGCTCATCTGGTCCAGGCTGAGATCCCAGTGATGGCGCAAGGACAGCCAGGAGAACTATGAAGAGACCGTTGTCGAACATCGTCATGTTGATTCCGATTGACTTTTCGCCTCACCCTCAAGAGTTATTTTCGGCATTCAAAATTCTCGTGGACCAGCAGATACCTGTCACGTGTCCAGGTGTGTCGCCCACGTGGTAATATCTGCCACGCTGTATGTAATTGATTTTGACAAAGATTTTTCCAAACCGCAGCATATTGAAACAGATGGTACGCATCAGACGTTTTGGATCAAGTTTTGTCTGTTTGATATATATTTGAATTGGTTGAAGGACATGACACAATCGTTGGTGTAAATCAGATTAACATGAACAGTCGAGACATACAGGCAGATAATTATAAAAGGAGTAATAAATACAATATAGTTTGTCCCGTTTTTGTGATGGCATGACCTCAACGATAGTTGCATACTGACTTTGACGTTTGAACAGGATCAGCTGATGACTCTGACTAGATAACAGTCATATGAACAGGATCAGATGGTGACTCTCTCTAGATAATAGACATATGAACAGGATCAACTGGTGACTCTCACACGTTAACAGTCATATGAACAGGACTAACTTGTGACTCTCTCTAGGTAACAGTCAGATAAACAGGATCAACTGGTGACTCTCTCTAGGTAGCAATCATATGAACAGGATCAACTGGTGACTCCCACTAGATAACAGTCTATGAACAGGATCAGCTTGTGATTCCGACTAGATAACTGTCCTATGAACAGGATCAGCTGATAACTCTCACACGTTAACAGTCATATGAACAGGATCAACGGGTGACTCCCACTAGATAACAGTCATATGAACAGGATCAACTGGTGACTCCCACTAGATAACAGTCATATGAACAGGATCAACTGGTGAGTCTCACACGATAACAGTCATATGAACAGGATCAACTGGTGACTCCCACTAGATAACAGTCATATAAACAGGATCAGCTGGGGACTCTCTCTATGTAACAGTCATATAAACATGGTAAGCTGGTGACTCTCTCTAGGTGACAGTCATATGAACAGGATTAGACGGTGACTCTCTCTAGGTAGCAATCATATGAACAGGATCAACTGGTGACTCCCACTAGATAACAGTCTATGAACAGGATCAGCTTGTGATTCCGACTAGATAACTGTCCTATGAACAGGATCAGCTGATAACTCTCACACGTTAACAGTCATATGAACAGGATCAACGGGTGACTCCCACTAGATAACAGTCATATGAACAGGATCAACTGGTGACTCCCACTAGATAACAGTCATATGAACAGGATCAACTGGTGAGTCTCACACGATAACAGTCATATGAACAGGATCAACGGGTGACTCCCACTAGATAACAGTCATATAAACAGGATCAGCTGGGGACTCTCTCTATGTAACAGTCATATAAACATGGTAAGCTGGTGACTCTCTCTAGGTGACAGTCATATGAACAGGATTAGACGGTGACTCTCTCTAGGTAACAGTCATATGAACAGGATCAGCTGGAGACTCTGACTAGATAACAGTCATATAAACAGGATCGGCTGGTGACTGACTAGATACCAGTCAGATGAACAGGATGTGACTCTCACTAGTTCACAGTCATATGAACAGGATCAGATGGTGACTCAGACTAGATAACAGTAATATGAACAGGATTAGTTGGTGAGTCTCACACGATAACAGTCATATGAACAGGATCAGCTGATTACTCTCACACGTTAACAGTCATATGAACAGGATCAACTGGTGAGTCCAACTAGATAGCATTCATATGAACAGGATCAGCTGGTGACTCTCTCTAGGTAACAGTCATATAAAAAGGATCAGCTGGTGACTCTCTCTATGTAACAGTCATATAAACAGGATCAGCTGGTAACTCTCTCTAGGTAACAGTCATATGAACAGGATCAACTGGTGCCTATGACTAGATAACAGTCAAATAAACATGATCAGCTGGTGATTCTCTCTAGGTAACAGTCATTATAACATGATCAGCAGGTGACTCTCTCTAGGTGACAGTCATTTAAACATGATCAGCAGGTGACTCTCTCTAGGTGACAGTCATATGAACAGGATCAGATGGTGACTCTCTCTAGATAACAGTCATATGAACAGGATCAACTGGTGACTCTCACACGATAACAGTCATATGAACAGGATCAGCTGATTACTCTCACTAGTTAACAGTCATATGAGCAGGATCAGCTGGTGATTCTCTCGCACGATAACAGTCATATAAACATGATCAGCTGGTGACTCTCACTAGTTAACAGTCATATGAACATGATCAGCTAGTGATTCTCTCTATGTTACAGTCATATAAACATGATCAGCTGGTGACTCTCTCTAGGTGACAGTCATATGAACAGGATCAGCTGGAGACTCTGACTAGATAAATGTCATATGAACATGATCAGCTGGTGACTCTCTCTAGATAACTGCCATATAAACAGGATCAGCTGGTAACTCTTTCTAGGTAACAGTCACATGAACAGGATCAACTGGTGACTCCGACTAGATAACAGTCAAATAAACATGATCAGCTGGTGATTCTCTCTAGGTAACAGTCATATAAACAGGATCAGCTGGTGATTCTCTCAAGGTAACAGTCATATAAACATGATCAGCTTGTGACTCTGTCTAGATAACAGTCATATGAACAGGATCAGATGGTGACTCTCTAGATAACAGTCATATAAACAGGATCAGCTGGTGACTGACTAGATAACAATCATATGAACAGGATCAACTGGTGACTCTGACTACATAACATTCATATAAACAGAATCAGCTGGTAACTCTCTCTCTCTTGGTAACACATTTATATAAACAGGATCAGCAGTTGACTGACCAGATAACACTCATATGAACAGGATCAACTGGTGACTCCGACTAGATAACAGTCAAATAGACATGATCAGCTGGTGATTCTCTCTAGGTAACAGTCATATAAACAGGATCAGCTGGTGATTCTCTCAAGGTAACAGTCATATAAACATGATCAGCTTGTGACTCTGTCTAGATAACAGTCATATGAACAGGATCAGATGGTGACTCTCTAGATAACAGTCATATAAACAGGATCAACTGGTGACTCTCACACGATAACAATCATATGAACAGGATCAACTGGTGACTCTGACTACATAACATTCATATAAACAGAATCAGCTGGTAACTCTCTCTCTTGGTAACACTCATATAAACAGGATCAGCAGTTGACTGACCAGATAACAATCATATGAACAGGATCAACTGGTGACTCTAACTAGATAACAGTCAAATAGACATGATCAGCTGGTGATTCTATCTAGGTAACAGTCATTTAAACATGATCAGCCGGTGATTCTCTCTAGGTAACAGTCATATAAACAGGATCGGCTGGTGACTGATTAGATAACAGTCATATGAACAGGATCAACTGGTGACTCTCACACGATAACAGTCACATGAACAGGATCAACTGGTGACTCTGTCTAGATAACAGTCAAATAAACATGATCAGCTGGTGATTCTATCTAGGTAACAGTCATTTAAACATGATCAGCGGGTGATTCTCTCTAGGTGACAGTCATATGAACAGGATCAGATGGTGACTCTCTAGATAACAGTCATATAAACAGGATCAGCTGGTGACTGACTAGATCACAGTCATATGAACAGGATCAGCTGGTGACTGTGTCTAGATAACAATAATCTGAACAGGATCAGCTGGTGACTCTCGCACGATAACAGTCATATAAACAGGATCAGCTGGTGACTCTCTCTAGATAACAGTCATATGAACAAAAAACTAATGGCCATACTTGGTCTGGCTAAGTATCATTAAATCACTCGTACTCATACACTTAAGGCAGGAGCAGGAACAGCTCAAGAAAATGGAATTTGCTTCTACACGTTATTCCAGTCTCACAGTCTCACGGTATACCAGACTGGTGCTTAACCATAAAATGTCAACGCCAGAGAATGACCAGTCTCGTTTATCCGCTCAAACAGATTCCAATGGATGTAAAATGCAAAATAGCAGTGCAAATTGGTGTGTTTATATATCTACCAGTTTCAGTTTTTAGTTTGTGATTACTTAAACGAGGTTTTGGGAAATGTGAAGTGTGAACGTTGTTTTTACAATAAATAAGATAATTCTAAATATTCATAGATGACTTGACCAACCTGTATGTACTTAACTTGCTGTTAGATAAATGGGAATCCCTTAATGAATTCGGGAACATATTTTTCATTTGAAGTTTATTTACACTGGATTCATTACATTTATTTGTGTTTACTCTTTGAAAAGATTGTTTTATTTAACCCAACCAACATTTTGACTTGAAACATTACTATTTGCTGCCAAAGCATGTTTAAGAATGACATTTGTTGTGTAATCTATATAAGACTTGTAATCAATTGGGTTTTTTAATATTATTGGTACTAATAGTGGGTATATATCAAGCCCATTTATGTGTTTTTTTGCCTTGGTTTTCCTTGCGCTGACCATTTAGAGACACTGTTTCTTTTATTGTGCTTTCCCAAGATTACAACATTAAAAACAATCAATTTGTACTTTACACCAACCCTTTCCTCCCATAGCTTACACTTCCTTCCTCTGCATATAACATTATATGGCGGGGAACAATGCACTGCAGCAATCTCTACTTGTATATGTGTGGTGAACATGTTTAGAAGTTGTAGATGACTATAGTTGCTGATTGAACATTTAGACTTTTCACGTTTGGCAAAGGTAGCTGCAAGTTCAGCCAGTAGAGCACTTGGTCTATTAAGCTCTAAGCATAAACTATAAGGAGGAATGAATGGATTTAGAACACTATATGAAACAATGGTGTGGTCGGTCATTCAATATGGGTCGTGCATCTGGGGTACCCGAGATTCATCACGATCAATGCAGTACAAAATCGCGCCACGCGATTGTATTTAGCCCCACGGAAATTTATACCAAATATTTATTTTAATGGTGATTTGAAAAATCACAGGTCGGCTCGATGTTAGTATACTGTGTGTGAGTAAAATCAGTGATCAGTGTTCCCGAAACGGATTAGCATGTCATGCTTTACCGGTAACCGACGGCATCATACCAATAAAGCGACAAAACCCTTTCCATATCCAATT